TTCCTCATCTTTAAAATGGGGATGGGAGAATGCTCATTTACATTGTGGATTTAGAATAAAGACTGAACAGAGGTAAGAGAGTGAATCATGCTGGTGTCTTTGGAAAGGACAGGGAGGCAGAGTGAGAGGCAGTTGGAAAGACTCTGACGAGGAACCTCAGCTAGTACATTCCAGTGATATCAAAAAGGCTGGTCTTTTTGCAGACAAGCTCCTCAAGGGGGAGAGTAGTAGGAGATGAAGTCAGAGAGGTAGATGGCAGTGGACTGGACTGTGTAGACTCATAGACCAATGGAATGTGTTGAGCTTTCACTTGTGAATTTGAAGATTTTTAGCAAGAGGATGAAAATATCCAATCAGCATTTTAACAGGATTATTTTCGTTACTATCTGGAGAGTACACAGTAGGGAGGGCAAGTAGGGAAAGAGAGTTAGGAGACTTTTCCTGTAATCACAGTAGGAGATGATATGCTCTTAGACCAGGATATAACAGTAAAGATGGCGCAAAGTGAACACATTGAGAATCTATTTTGAAGCTAAAGCCAAGAAGACTTATTGGCAAATTAGATGTGAGAAAGGAAAGAACAGAGAACTAAGTTTTATATATCCAGATCTTTTAAAGATGAAGTTACCATTAACTATTTGGGAAGTCTGAAGGTGGGAAATGAAAATACCTACATGGCATTTAAGCATAAATGGTTTTTCCTGTGCATATTTTTCTGCCACATGAGTATTTTTTTTTCACTTGAAAGTATATGGTAGAAAGTTCCATAGGTTATCTAGAATTCCTTGGTACTTTTAATCGTTGCATAATACTTTATATTCAATACCCTCTTGATGAAACTTAGATCATCCTCAATTTTATCACTATTATCAACAGTTATGTAACCAACATCCTGGGCTTGCCGCTTTGTGCATGTATGTGAATAGTACCCTGGAGTCAATACTGATAACCAAAGTTGTTGGCTATGCACCATGAAAGTTTAACTGATACTTCACATTTTCTTCTATTAAGCTGGTTCCTGTTTATAGTCTCACTAATAGAGGAAAAGAAGGAAAGAAATTAAAACATTTTTCTTTTTAGTTAAGATAGACAGGAAAAGTGTGCAAAAGATAATTTCCTAGTGTTTCTTTGGCATAAATGAAGCACTGGCAAAATGTTATGGATTGCTTAATTTATCAATTATTTATTATTCCAGACATACTTCTGGGTAGTGAGCATATATCCGTGAGGAAGCTGACAATGTTACTGCTGTGATGGAGATAAAAAATCTAGAGGGTATAAATGTTGTGGACTCTGGGTTTTGTTTGGACTGTCTAATATATTAAACAGTATTTTATGTGACTCAATTTCTCTCATATTCTGCAACTGCCATGTTTCTCTCTGAGACATTGGAAATATACACCAAAAATAGTTTTAAAACTTTTTGCAAAAAAAATGCAATAAGCAAAATACAATGATTAATGACAAATTGGGAAAATATTTTCAATTTATAACACTAAGATTGAAATCCCTAATATATAAAATTTGTTTAAAATGGGGGAAAAATACTAATAAGGACAACTCAATGAAAGTAATATAAACAGCCCCAAAACATACGAATGAGATGCTTAAACTCTCACAGTGACAGACTTGCAAATGAAAACCACAATGAGATAAAAATTTTCACTTATCAGTCTGCCAAATCAAGGACTTTGACCACTAACTTTTGGCACAGCTCTGGGGAAACAGGCACTTTCATTTATTGCTGGTGGAAATGCAAAATGCTACTCAAAGGGAGTTTGGAAATGGCCAGCAAAAATCTCTTTATTCTCATACCTAGCAATTCCTTCTAGGAATTTACCTGAAGATCCCTTTGCAAAAATACAAAATGATGTGTGTACAAACATATTGATTCTGACAACATTTAAAATAGCAAAAGCCTAGAAACAACTTAAGTCCATTCATAGTGAACTGGTTCAATAAATCATATAATATATCCACATAATACAGTACCTACCCTCTGTAAAATCTGATGAGGAAATCTCTATATACTGATATGAGGTAACTCCAAAGTATTTAGTTAAGTGAGAAAATAATACAGAAAATTCAGGAGTAATGATGGAGGAACCAATATGGAAGTAAGAATTCTCTGGATATACTCTGCAACATGTTTTCATTTTGAAATCATTTAACGTTTTACAGAATTTTTGAAATAAAATTAAATAAAAATAATCATCTTTAACAGTTTTTTTTCCTATTTCCTCTATAGATTGGGCCTTTTCTTTCATTTTATATCCTAACTGGGTTTTTATTATTTAATAAATGATACTGATTTCAGCATATTACTTCTATATTCTATAACCTTATTGAATTCTATCACTTTCTTTTTTGTGTGATTGATTCTTTTGCATTACCAATTATACAATTAGATAATCAGAAAAAGAGTTTTACTTCTTCCATTCCAATGTTTGAGATTTTTTTCACTCTAAACTTTTACTCTTGCAAACTGTTTTGGCTCTGGGTCTCAGTATAATGTTAAATGTAATGGTGACTGTGGATACCCATGTCTTTTTCCTCACTGTAGAAGAAATGCTTCCGTGGGTCCATTAATTAAAATGCTACAATTGAAAAAAGAATATATTCTCCAGTCTCCTCCTTTTTAAAAGTTGTGCTATGGTATTTGATATATAATCATTAATACCACATTTTCATTTTCAATCGCAATCTTAACTATTATAAAGTGCCTGT